AACTGATATAGTCTTTTGACCGATACTTTGATAAAAACAAGTATTACGTTCATTTCTACAAAACGGACAGACAAACCAGAAATTCTATTTTAGTATCTTTCAAGCTTCTTAGAATAAAATACAAGAAAAATTCATATCTTTTATTTCACATCTTACAAATCCATCATGTTTACAATCCACACAAGCTGTTCAGTTAGTGTATAATTATTGCATATTGTGCCCAACATACAGTAGATGATCAGACTGTGTTAGTCGGCTTAGAATAATTCTCACAATGAAATGTCGGTTCAATTCTAATTTATAATATTTACTTAGGTTACATATACATGTAAAATGTATGAGATTTAATTGTACATTATGTACTTGTGTAGTAACAGAGTTAGTTGTTTTCAGGTAGTGTTGATGAACTCGTTCACAGGTTAGAGTTGACAATCATAATCGTAAAAGAACCTTTATTTATAAATCATGTTATTATTCTTCGACTATTTCAAAACAGTTATATTTCCTCAAGTGGATTTTGAAACTGTTACCGTTATCATTCATTTACACTTTATCAAATGTATAAAAATCATCAGTTACAAATCATAGTTTTGTGATTTTCTTATATGAAACACACTTCTCATCATAGACTAATATACTATCTTTAATATATGCAAGTAAAATCTCAGACTTAAGTATCACACATATTGAAACATTTGTTAACAAAACTTCAAGATACACTATGATACTACTTATGAAATCTTTTTAGTTTATAAGTAAATGTCAAGTTTGGTTTTTTATGGTTAAATTACACAACATGAATATTAGTTTCTAACAAATCTCTATTTAATATAGAAAACTCATGTTTTATCATAGCCCAATGTAAAATCATTAATATGTGTATGTAAAATCAAATATTTAACAAGCATATTGAAACATTTCTGAACAAAACTTCAAGATATAATAATATGCTATTTAAGAAAACTTCTTAGTTCATAAAATACTGACATACACCTCAAGTTAATAATAACTGCCGTATATACTTGTTCAGGTAGATTATCAGTTACCATAAATAAAACATAAGGAGTGAGTAATCAAAGTTTCTTTATTTATAACTTTGCTTCCTGTTTAATACTGTTAAGTATCTGCTTGTTTGTTAATTTTTAGTATTAATTTTTTCCGAGAAACTTCAGGGATACAAGTCCTTTCTTGATTAACCCAGTTTATTCTTCCTCGATACAAACTTTTAATACACAATAATTTCACAGTGATTCATACACTTTACTTACCGTCACTACTGTTCGCTTCTTTAATTATCTATCTATCGCTGGCTTCTCTGCGTATAGATCACACTCGAGCTGGCGGGCAAATTCATGATCCTTCGAGAAACTCCAGCGCGCATGCTCCCAGTGTTGCGTGACTTCCGCTGTCATAACAATAAGTTTACCAATGAATATCACAGTTAGTGCAAAACATTTGTGCATAAATTACTCCTGAGCCATTTAAAGTGTGCATTGTTTTCTTTTGTGTGAATTTAATAACAAGGAAGAGAAATACAGTACAGTTGGATCTAGGAAACCATTAATCTTTTCTTTTTGTTGGAATTGAACTATCAAATTTTCAAGCATGTGTGTGGTTAAATTCGAACATAGTTTTCTGTAAAAGTATTTTTATTTATTGTCAAAAAGATTCCAAACAAGTGTCAGTATACTGTATTCGTTTGTAATTAAGCACAAAACTACACAATGGGCTATCTGTGCTCTGCCCACCACAGGTGCTACGACTTGAGTGCTACTAATTACATTATTTTCTTTTTCTTGGAAAATTCTAAACATTTAAAGTTTCTAGTGTTGTAAAGTGTCACATTTGTCCCAGGAAATATGGTGTTATCCCCTGTTTTACCAACATGTTAGAAAAACAGATTGCGCCAAATTGTTACCAATGGTCTTAAAAACAACAAATAAATTATCTGCTAGGGAAAACTTAATTTACAAAGTTTCTGGTGTATTTGTACAGCAGATATATTATAATTTTAAGAAAACGTGTAATTTGTAATAAATTTCTCGTCTCTTCTAAGTTTTCTGGGAACTATCCTCATCAAACGTGTATGTAAGAAAATCATAAAAAAGGTAATTCCCAAACTCTCTAAAATCATAAGCAAATCATCAGAACAATAATTCTATACTTATTATAAATTTTCTACTTTACAAGTTATAACAATGTGAATAAAACATTTGAATGGTTAGCAAGTAATGTCTTCCAAAGAACAAGGTGGTTGCGCAAGAAATTATGAATCTATATAAATATAATAGTACTGTCTGTTGTATGTCCATGTAAATACTTCGCAGGGTATGGATGGATCTTCAACAAATTTGGCATGAATTTTTTTGGGGGTTCATGGAGAGATACATAAAAATTTTCAGTTTTGCCTTTTGCGTTTTGCGGTTTTTATGGATGTTTTTCGTTTTTAACAATTACATATAAGGAAAGCAGCTTTTCATGTTCTAAGATAATCTTTCATTAATCATGAATTTATATAACTTCTGTCCAAGGGACGCGTACTCCAGCTTGTTTCAAATAGCCTTTGATTAATTCATTTAACAACTAGTTTTGTACATTAATTATACACTTTTTGGTACTCCGAAACTGGACTTAAGAATGTCGCACCGTTTAAGATTTTATATTTTACATTATTTGTCCATCGGTATTGAAAACTTTAGTTGTATTATGTTTTGTAAATAAAGTATTTATTTTCCAGTTCGACTGTGTTTGATTCACTGTATAAATTTACTGATAATATTAATTTGCTTACAAAAATAAATAAATAATAGTATGCACTACTCTTTGAGAACAAAAACAATACAATTTACAAGGACTAAATATAAGTCTGAATTACAATTCATAAGACTTCATATTATAGTTGATTTTATTTTAGAAATAAGAAGTTTGAAGATATCAAATATTCATAAGTGAATATCACTTACATTACACGATTACATCTTATAGGTCACACTGTATGATCCCCATAGAATTACCATGTTTGAGTCTCGTATACACATTACCCCCCCCCCCCCATCCCAAGGTAACTTTCGCTTCCTCAATAGTGGAGGTACACATGATATTACACTTTTTCTTTTGTCAGCAATAATTATATATTAGACTTTTTTACATCGCTGCAGTGCTGTTCTTGCACTGCTTACAGACTATATTTTTAGTGGTTAGTGGATTAGTGAACTTGTAGGTTATCAGGTTATCCTGACGAAGTTATAATAGTAAAATATTGATCAATAAAGATGCATTCTGAAGACATGGGTCGTTATTTTATTTACATGAATAAAAATGTTTCGTAATAAACTCCAGTTTGCATTAAAACAAATAAGAATAATACATTGCAAATATACTTTTGAGTGCCATAGCTACAGTATGGGGCAGGTCCTCTAAAAGGTTCAGAGAGGCCTGGGCCACGTCTATCTTTTGAGGCCCCTGGTTATAATAAAAAAAAAAAATATGTCACATGAAAATGAAATAAAGCAATCATTAGCCCCAAAGAAAAATGAAATATAATTTGAATATATAATTTGCAGCTCTAAGCTGAGAGTGTGTGTCACATTTTTGTCTGATTGGGAGGCACATAAAAACAAATCGCGAAACTTAACAAATGCACAAAAAACAACAAGTATCTAAATTTGAGACCCCCTTTGAGCTTGAGGCCCGGATCAAATGGCCCTCCTGGCACCCCTCTAATTGGCCCTAAGTATAGCTGATGAATTCTGGCATTGAACAAAAGGTAACTTAGACAATGATATTTTAAAGATAAATGTGAAATATTTCGAAATCTGAACTGGAAAAATTAAAGGGTGTTTAAAAAAAAAAAAACAGGGTCCCGGCATGGCCAGGTGGTTAGGGCGCTCGACTCGCAATCTAGGGTGGCGCGTTCGCATCCTCGTCCCACCAAACACGCTCGCCCTTTCAGCCGTGGGGGCATTATAATCCCACTATTCATTGGTTCAAAAGTAGCCCAAGAGTTGACAGTGGGTGGTGATGACTAGCTGCCTTTCCATGTCTCTCACTCCTAAATTATGGACGGCTAGCGCAGATAGTCCTCGTGTAGCTTTGCGGTAACTTCAAACAAACAAGAAAAAAAAACGCCTACAATAAAGAACTACTGTTTATATATATAAATTTCGTTCTTTAAAATTTATTTAAATTCATGTGTTGTTATGCAATGTCTCCTTTACATCTTCTCATTGATATGTATAATACTTTATTTTCTTAAATATAATTTTCAAAAGTAATCATATTGACGTCTGCACTACGGTAGGTTTTAAAAGTAAAATTTCTGTAAGTTAGAAAGGCCTAGGAAGAAATGGAATAGATTATTGATCTATAATATCGTTTTTGACTTTATTACAATATAGTAAAAGAAAAACATTACAAGATATAATACCTCCATAATAACGAAAATATTGTTTGAGGTTTGAAACAATAGTATTAACCTTAGATCATTCGTTACTAAAGTTTTAACAAAACGTCAGGCCTAATGTTTTAATATAGGCCATAACTTCAGTACTGCTTTAACGTTAATAATTTATAACGTGGCTTATCAACAGTACCACTATCTATAACTTTGCTGTTAAATATAAGTTAGTAAGAAAACCCTGACCACTAGGCCTAACAAGGATCAGGTCAAAAATATCTTTCTTTAACGTGCGTTAGTTGTTTTCAATTATAAGTTCAAGTTTAACAGTTTTTACCTCTGAAAATGTACTACTCTTTTTTTTTTTATATTATAACCAATGTCTAACTAAATTAGTTTTATTTTTTCTAATAAATGATGAAGGGCTGTTGCTACAACATCTCAAAAATCAAATTTAAAATTAGTTATGTCGTTATGCAATTTTATAATTATAATATAATTACGACGTCATGCGGACATTCAACTGACCAATTTAGCGTTACTGTTTACCCATTTTCCCTCGGTACTCGGTAGGTTAGCGGTAAGTTTACGGACTTCTCTTTACCAAAATCGGTGTTCTGGTCGTTTGATGGACCAGGGAGGGTCAGGTTCATGGTGACCTCTTCCTCCTTTCCGAGCTGTGATTTTATACTGGTGATTGTTGGTATTGATACAACAAGAGGGTTGGAGTAAACCGCACTTGCTTCGACCCCCTTTCAGGGCAATGTCCATGTAGGTATCTACAGTTACATTCTGTGTTTTGCACTCTATCTCTTAGGTCAGTTCCATAATGCACACACCACATTTTACTAGTTAGACTAATCAAACGCATTTTACATAAAATAACCTATTAAATGTATTGTTCTTAGTCTAATTAGTGTAGGGTTTTAAAGTCTAGTAATAGATGGCCTTATTACATCCTTATTTCTAAAATAAATGTTTACGAGTGAGAGGTACTTAGGTCTACTTCCATCATGTATGTAGTAGCGATCAAGTTCGCAGAGTAGGTAATTATTTTGCCAATTTTTTGCAAAGTAATTTATAGTATTATGCAAGAGTCTATCGGCTATTCTTTGCATATCTGTGCATGAATTTTGATGAGGTACTGCGGGGGACTTTATATGCTGTGGTGATAAGTGAGTTTTGTATAGATTGTAACTAATTTATATGTTTGGGAGGTATGTTTATCCATGCAGGGCAGGCGTATTCTATTATTGAGCGTATATATGTTTTGTAAATTTTAATAATGTTGTCAGGTGATGTTCCTTGGTTTTTGACTGTTAGACTTCTTGCATAATTTGTGCGTTTCCAGATTTTTGTTAATATATTATTTGTATGTTTTACCCACATCAATTTTGAGTCTAGGGTTAATTCTAAAAATTTTGCCGAGGTTGTGGTCTGGAGATATGTTCCATTCATGTATAGTTTAGGGGGGGGGGGTTGTTTATTAATTATGTAAAAGTTAGTAATTGGTTTTTCGGAACGTTTATTTTTATTCGATATTTTTGACAGTATTCTTCTATATTATTTAATAATGGTTGTAAATTTGTTGCTGCTATGGATGGGGTGGGAGCACTTTTCCAGATCACAACACGTCCGCGAATTGTGATGCGAAACCCTGATTTGTGTCTTTTAGAGGCATATTACTCACATACATAATGAATAGAATAGGGCTAACTACCCACCCTTCAGGTACACCTGCCTCTGGGTGAATGCCTCAGAGTAGGTTCCCCTTACATTTGTTTTGCATGTTCTATTTTCCAAGAAGTTGGATAGCCAGCGAATAATCACCTGCGGTATTTCCAATTCCGTCATACGGAACCTAAGACCATTGTGCTATATAGTGTCGAAGGCTTTCTCGACATCGAGAAAGCAGGCGACAGTGCATTCATTTTTATTAGAACTATCTATTATTGTTTCAGTTAGTCTAAGTGACCTGTTGTCTGTCTGAATTTTCTAAAACCGTTTTGAATTTCTGGTAATTTTGAAGTGACTTCTAGGTAATTTGAGAGTGTTGCTTATTATTCGTTCGAGAATTTTTTCCTACACAGCTGGTCAGGCTGATCGGGCGGTAGTTGTTTGGTTTATTTGCTGGCTTTCCTTCTTTATGGAACATTAGTACAATCGCTTGCTTCCAAGAAACCGGGATGTATCCAGAACTTAGTGATAAGTTAAAAAGTGCTCTAAGGTGTCCATACAATCTCTAAGTGCCTTTTTTGAGGATGATAGCCTGTATGTCGTCTTCTCCTGGTGATTTGTTTTTGGTAGTTTTTATAGCTAGTTGAACTTCTGGTTCTGTAATTGTTTTTGTGAGTATATGTGTAATTGGGTTTTCTATTTCATTTAGTCTGATATTTGTATTTTGTATGTTAACTGGATATTTTGGTGTGTACATGGTTATGTTTTGTTTAATGTGGTTGTTAACTTTGTTGTAGAAGTGTACATTCATGTCTGGTTCGTGGTGTGTTTTGAATGTGTTTTGTAGGTGCTTTTTTCAGTGTTTGTGTCTTATTTTGTGTTTCTAGGGGTGGATAGTTACTGTTAATGTTTCCTGAATCGTTTTAGGTGCTTCCAGAACTGTTTTGGGTCGGTTTTGTCGTTTACTTATGAGCAGAAATTATCCCAAATGTCTTGTTTTAGTTGACGGACTTCATTTCTTATTTTGTTTCTTAATGTGTTTATTCGTGTTTTAAGTGTTGAATCTTGGGTTTGCATGAATTGTCTGCGTAGTTTCCTACTTTCATTTATTATTTCTGTAATTTGTGTGTGAGGTTGCCATGTTTGTGTTGTTTGTTTAGGCTTGGGTATTGTTTGTTTTGCTGCCGTTTTTAGTCACTTGGTGATTGTATGGCAATATGCATATATTTCGGATGCTTCCGCGGCGTGATATACTTTTATTTTCGGTAGCATATTGTCAATGATTTTTTTTTATTGTATCCAGTTTGCTTTCTTATAGTTAAATTTTTCGGTTTTTATTGATTTATTTGTATGGGGGTGAGATTGAAGATATACCAGACAGGTAGATGGTCACTTTCTATGTCGTTTGCGGAGTTACAACACTAAAAATCCAAGTTTGAATTCCCGCGGTGGGCACAAAAGACAGCCCAATGGGTCTTGGCACTAAAACAAACAAAAGTTTATCCATTAAATATTTTTATTTTTCCAAACTGAAACATAAGCTTATGTTTGGAATAATTTTAAGATATCCTTAATGCTACGTTTCTTGTTGGCTACCTGACTCTAGACTCTATCAATAATTAGTCATTCAATGGTTATATACACGTTGTCTTTTTAAAGTACTTAATAGAAGAGACCAGCATTGGGTGAAACCAATAAAAGCTGGTTTAACTTGTATAAGTCAGTATTGATATCAAGCTCTGCAAAACTAAGAACAGCCTGGTTCAATTACTGTAAAACACAATTGACAAGACTAATTATTATTCTCTGCTCTGTTGTTACAATACAGTCTGTGATAATTTCACTTTAAAAATCGCCACTATACGCTCTTTATCACTAAACTAACAATCACAACTTGTGGATTTTATGTGAACAGCCTTGCAATTGTTTAAGTTATATTTCATGCAATGGTGCTTCCAGATTTAATCTCATAGCACCTATTTTTTACACATTTCCTGGGGAGGCATGCCCCCAGGCCCCTGTAGCATTAGCATGCTAATTGTGCTTCTCATAATATCTCACAAATTAGACCCCCCTTTCAAATATTCTGCATATGGACCTGACTTCATTATACTTAAAATAATTGTTTATCAATTTACTATTAAATCTAATGATCATTACTGAGTTCAGTTGATATGATCTTTAGGCGTAGGTGTCGATGTGAGGGTGAAGTGGGGTCATTCTGTGCGAATGACCTCACCCTCTCTAAATTCAACTGCATTTTGATGGTCATGGAAAGCTAAACCAAGGGCTTAGTCCAGGCACACTTGTACATCTTTAGACATGGGGAGTTAAATAAACTTTGTTGCCATTTAATTTGTACAAAGTCAAATATGAAAACCAGAGGTCAAGCATCATAAAAATAACATGAAATATCATTTCACAGCTTTTATTTTGGTCTCAGTCTAGTAAAAACATGTATTTGGCAAAATAGTATCAATAACAAGATAACTTGTAATATTTTAAAATATAATGACACATTTACAGGATTTACATAATCATTGATACAAAGCATGGTTACATGTCTTCAGAGTCATTGTCATCTTAAACCACAAATGGAAGATTCATCATAACTTTTTTAACATTTTCATTATTTGTCCAACATTTACACATTTCTGTGCAGTACATGCTGTTTGCATGAGCCGTGTGATGATAAGCAAGAACTTCTAATACAAGCATGCTTGATTAACTGGGTCACTACCTCAAGGGCTACAGGTATGGACATTGTCAAGGGAACAATGGCACCATCTTCTAGTTACCATCCATGTTCACAAGTATCTGGAATGCTTGGTTTAGCAACATTATCCTGCTCCCACACCATTGCCATGTAGTTGACTGTTTTGATAACCTCAGTCAGTGCTGACCTGGTTGGAGGGAAATTTCTCTGACTCAGCTTGATTTCTAGTGAACATGGCCAACCCAACTCAGATACTTTAATTGATGTGTAGTGTTGTTGGTTCATACAGCTGATGCATAAATTTTTCCGTTGCTTGTGATACTGCCTCATGAATTTCAACATGCTTATTCAATTCAGCAAAGGCTTCAATAACATCATCTGAACTGGATTGGAGACTTCCAGAAACTTAGGTTTCCATTATATGCAATTTAGCCAGTGACAATGCATCCAGAGAATGCATGAAACCCTGGGAGAGCTGATACTTTTCTACTTCGTAAAGCATCATAGATGGGCTTCAGTGGGGTCACATGCCTTAGTTTGCCAGTCCCTGATACTATAAATGTATCTTCATACAATTTTGGATAGTGGTGAAGTGCCATAGTCAATACATTGGTATCAGATGCATATATCTTCAGTTTTTCAACTCTCCTTTCTGCAGCATTCGCAACTTGAAGTATCAGTCTTGTGTGCTACTGAGGTGTTGGACATTTAGGTTAATTGACATAATTTTTTCTTTGGAGGTCACAACAATACCTATCACTGACTTCATAAAATGAAGGACACATTTTGCAGCCAATTATACTGGTTGGTTAATGTCTGAGACAAAAATCTTTGTGCTGAAACATGTTCAATTCCAGTAATGTCATTCACAACGTAAGCCACTGATTCATGTTTCCCTGTTCTTTTCCTGGTCACACTCTTAATTAGAGAAATTTTTCTACATTGTAGCAATCAAATATAATATGAACTTAATGAAAATCTCGCATTCAACTTTTCAATCTTGACAAGAAGTAATCAGCAAAATCAGAACCAATTTTTACTGTATTTGGTTTTCCCCATATCTTGTACAAGTGCCATGCCATCAATGATCATGGATTTTCTCTAATGGGGTTGCTGCATGTGACTGTCATTATGTGTGTCGTCAATCTAAGAGACTAAGGTTCCCATTCATGAGCTAATTTACTCTTGTTTAACCACAGCAGCAGTAAACATGTAATGTGGAAGTGAGGTGAATTCATAGGTCCTAATATATTCCTTCATGTCAATATCTGGACGAGATCTCATGTCAAGTATGAATCTATGAAATAATGCACAAACTTCTTTCAGACTCATTACCTGTGATTTCGTTTTTTTACCAGTTTCTCAGCATTCTTCCAGACCTTCAGATTAATTTTTTTCATAAGAGACCAAAAACTCACATGATTTGATGTAATTCGTTCAGAAACAAACAATAGGTATTGTTCTTGTCCAGCTTCATCTCTCCTGAGAAGATAAACAGTGACATTATCCGGCTTCACCATTTTTGTGATGATGTTCATCACAGGCTTGTTCCCATGAAGTGGGTTAGTGTGATGCTAGATCACATTTTTCAATTTTATAACACTAATGCCTTTTCACTATATATGGGGATATTTCACAATGTTTTCTTTTCTCTTGCACAGGAACTTCACCAGGTTCATGCACTTTTCTGAAAAATGGGCTTTATGATTCAATGTAATGCCAGAGAGGCCACCAAGAACTTTCATACATCTATTTAAGTGTTCAATTCCATGATCTGCTCCTATAGTGTAGAATGCAACATTTGATTTGTTAACAACAAATTTCCCTTCTTTTCCAGCAATTTTCTGACTGTATTTTCAAACATAAATCATCACGTTTTTCTCAAACTCACTAAATCATCATGGAAGGAGCAATGAGAGGAAATGCTCCTACAAGTGTGACAGGTTTTGTAGTTTATACCATAGAGTTGTAAGCTGACCATAAGGGGGTGCTTTGAACAGGTTTTTCATCACTAACCTCTGTGTGTTCTTCAGCCATACAGCACCTTTTGTACCTTGCTATTAACCATGTGACATCATGAAGTTCAGATGTTGGAGAACTATCTCATGTGTTTTGTAAATAGGATTTTGCAGTTTGGAGCTTTTGGCATATGACAAGGTGTCAATTCAGTAATAGTGTCTGGAACCCTGCTTAAAGATTTATCTTACACTGTGATGTTTGGTTGAATAGGACCAAGAATGATCTCTCCATTCCATCTTGTCATTTTCTTGAAAAACAGCTAGAGAAGTAGCATGCAAGGTGCCCTTGCCACCACGAGTATCCTCATCAAAATATATCAGAAATGTCAATTGCAAAAAATACAAACAAGTAATGTTGGCCAGTATCCTCCACATACTGGCATATTTTCAAGAACTGAACAGGCCAGTTATGTTTCTAGTTTCAATATTCTGTTATAGTTTACAGACATGGAAAATCTATGTTGCAAATCTATCATCTTTCTGCTCCTAGCCATTTGAAGAATTGCAACTCCAACAGCAAGCTGATTAGGTAATTTGGGATTATGAATGAATCTAGCCATGGTAGACTCTGATTAGTATTTTAATTTATGATACATTTTTGAGGATGAGCTTAATATTTGAGCAGTGTTTATTGTGTTCTTTATTGTTGCTTCACTGGTCTCATTTAGAATATCTACTTGAGGTCTTTGCAAAATCCACCTGAGAAGCATGTACAGACTCATTGAGATGTATTTTGAAAAAGTCACTATTTTGGAATGACCCCTCAAATTTCCATGGTTTGCACATTGAAATATATACTTGATGTCTTTAGTGTAGTTCCTGCTGCTTCATGCATGACATCCTCTCTGGTGACTTTTAAAAAACCAGTCGGCTTTGGCTGATTTTGCTGCTATAGTTGAGAAAATTCTATGTTTGGGATATTTTCCATTAACTTCTGTTTCAGTTCCCTCCTTTCACATGAAGGATTTATTACTCCATTACCTTGTTGAATTCTTAACTATGTAGCTTGTTATGCAGTTATTGACAATATAGAACCACCTTGAAGCAAGTTTTCCACCAATGTAAGAAATTCTGTATCTGAACCAATTTGCTGTACACATGCATCTAAATGGACATTTTCAGTGTTGCTCGGTATATTTCCCATACTTTTAGATAGTGATGGTGACTCTTTCAGACTAGGCATATGAATTACATACATGGCCCAACAACCCTTATGGTATTTAACATCTATTGCTTGTGTATCACCCAGCTTAATTGCACTTGCAAGTCTTATTCTAAGAATATGATTATCAGATACTGCTTCCTTGAGCTTGAGACCAGCATTAAAAGCTCAGACATCATGGAGACTCTGTTTAGGATCATCATTTTTACAAAAGAAGCACAAATCCTTCTTAAATGGAGTGCATTTTGATCTTGTTCGAATAGTTTTTTCTGCTGATTCCACCAGAACAAGGATGGATGAATAACAGCATCTTCCCATTTTTGGCTGCAACAAGTTTACTTTCTGGTTCTGGAGAACATCACCATATCTTTTCCTCCTCTGTTCAAATGTCCTGAGTGGCATATCTTCTGGGAGCAATATCTGTAGTATTTTGCATTCTCTATATGTTCATATTCTTTAAAGTAAGATTGCATCAGTGCTTATTGTCCCATACTTGTTATCACAATAACTAGCTCTGTCTATAACACAAGTGATGATTATTTTACATGAATCTTTAAACTGATGTCTCCTTCTGGCAGATGAATCACAATTCAAAATCAGTCACCTAAGAACTCTCATTTGCATTATTAGGTTCTGGTTGCTCCATTAACAAAACTGGATCAGTATTGAAACAACCTAGCTGCAAAGAAAAAAAGCAATATGCAAGTAATAAGGAAATATCCATTAACTTATAACATCAGCATAGTCAGGTAGTGTATGTTTTTCAGACAGTGCGAAGGTGCTATGCCATGCAGTAAAAGTACAAGATCATGCTTTATTGCTAAGATTTTTAATTTTTTAAACTAAGTATTTGAAAACATGAATAGGCAATTAGTAAGTTATCACAATATAAAAGAAAATATATATTCATATGTAAAAAGTTCAAAAACTCACAACCTTGGCAATTTCTTGATTTTTGAAAGTTCTGCAACTTATCATTAAATCTTATTCATGTGTTGGGTAGGGTGGTTGATATATTATATGAAACTTTTGATATATGTGTTATGACAAGACTTCTGGTATCCAAGAAAATCCTTACTGGTACTTATGGGCTGCAAATACACCTTGGTTGATGCCATTCTGGAAAGTCCCTTGATGCATTGTCATGCTTCAACCTAACATGGTGGCTTATCTAAAAATACTTTTGTGGACTTTGTCACCTTCCGTATAATGAGTAATTTAATAATTTTCTGTTATGAATGGATATGCAAATATAATATAGATGACATTAGTTGTGAAATAATACCCTATTATTCTGCAGGTTTTAATTTGTAAGTGTCACCCTTGAATTTTCTACCATATTTATTTCTAATCATAATTTTCTGGATTTTGACATTGAGCTGTGACTTTGGACTTGGAGAAAAGTGTGAAGCCTTATTTTGTAAATGTACAAAATACATGATTCACTATAGATGGTAAAATGATGTAAATATAAGACAAATTGTAAAAAAGAAGGTTGTGTATACAGTCATGATTTTGATCATGAGATCTGACTTCGAAACTTAAGGGTGGAAATGGCAACACTGTTTTCCTGAATGCTGTTGGTATAAGTTTTAAAATGATGTATGTTGCCAAATTTCACTATTAAGTTCCCACAGACTAGCTGCAAAAGCTGTCGAATGTGACATCATAATTTCATATTTATAACCTCTTTCGTTTGTGTTACTTCATTATGAATGAATCTTTCTATGGGCTGTTACTGATTCAAGACTTTCCTAGGACTATAGTACATGTGTTATTAATTTAAGCTTGACACCATTCCTCCTGCCCACCCCCCAAAAAAATCCCTGACAACCATTACATGTACATACACAATATAAGTGCTCTAAAGATTATTAGTTTCTTTATTTTAATATTCCAACTTGTGATTTATTTGGCACAAGCCTACCTGTATGGTGCAGTTTTTACATAATACCATGAAAAATCTAAGTTAATGCCATTTATCAATGGCTAAAGTTCCATAAACCTTTTAATGGAAGATAGATCTTTTTTAAAAATTACAAAAGAAATTAAAATAATGCAAATCTGCAACAAATGATTGATATATAATACAGACCATTTATTTATTCTTTTCTTAGATCTGTAACTTTTTCCTTATTTTCATATTTAAACATGAATATATCTTCTGATTCTACTTTCGAATCCAACAAGAACATCACTCAGCCTAGTTTCCAGTGTAACTTCTCTGATGCATTGAATATAAAGACATCGAAATATGAAGAGTAAGTTGTCTTCTGTTTATATTTTCAAGTATATGTTCCCAGTCTTTAAGCTAAACATACAATATTGGAAATAGTTATAGAAAGAGTGTATAAAATTCAAACATTTTTTAATTGATTTTCCTCTAATAAGCAAAAATGAATTGCACCAGAGTAAATTTAAGTCACTGTGATTGGCTGTCATCCAAACAGTCAGACTGTGCCACACCTTCATAATACCTATAAAAATACAGGGACTCGCACTATTCCCAGAAATGGTATGAGGAAATCTCTCAGAACAGATGCTGTATATCAAACAAGAAAAAATCAAAGTTTTGGCTGGTGACGGCTATTCCATGCGACAAATTGCTGCAACCTTTATGTTTCTGTAGGATCCATATGGAAACTAAAGTGGATTTATAAAACTTGTACTTTTTATAATAGAATTGGTTGAGGTAGAAAGCCCAAACTTCAAAACTGATGCTAAGTATCTCAAGGTATGCTACTGTTTACTTTGGCATGAAAATGCAGTAGACATCTTGATAAATTGCGAAGGGCCAATATTTTTAAGTGAATTTTATCTCCGGAAAAATGATATACACATAAACACAAAGTGGCCTCAAACTTATGTATGACTTCTCAAAATTTATTACTTAAGTACTGAAACCAAACAAAAAGGCTAAAATGGGCAATGGACTTCAAACAGTGGGATGAACAAAACTGACTGAGGATGCTCTTTACACATGAATTCAAGTGCAAGCTGTTTGGCAATAATCACAACAGTTTGTTTGACAGAGAGGGAATAGGGTCACACCAACATAACTATCTACAGAGAAACACATTGGAGTCCGATACAAGTGTAGGATGCATCTCGGGCAGTGGTGTTGAAAATCCACCCAAAATTGAATAAGCCTTGACTGCTGGCTGACAGGTACAAGCTACTTTTTATCCAACATGTCATTACCTCTGGAAGAATTCCTATTAGACAGGGATTCATCTTCCAAAAAGAGTGATACCAACCATGCAGCAAATGTGGTGCTATGGTACCTGGAAGAAAGCAGGCCAGTGAAACACACTGAACTGTGGCATTACTTTTGGAAAGTCCCAACATGGATATTATTAAGGCTCTATGGGTTTATGTGGAATCTGGAGTCAGATGGCAACCAAAGAACTTGGCTAAATTGTGGGGAATAATAAAAGAGATTTGGAACAATATTTCACAATCATACATTGATATACTTAGGGAAACATGAAACAAACGATGTAATACTTTATTTAAAGAAAACAGAAACTAATAGTACATTGTACTTATTCACATTTTTGTATTTTCTCTAATAATTTAATGTACTATTGTTGAGTTGTAATTACTTATTATTTGTGACTTTATAGTATGTGTATTACCTGTGCATTTCCATAATTATTTTTAATACTGTATATCAACTCAAATATTGCAATGTTTAATAAATATTGATTTAGTATATTTAATCTAAATGTTGACATTGATTAACTAATAACTACGATAAGATTTCTTATATTTTTAAGCAAAACCATTTTTTTTTTCAGAATGGGACAAGTATATGTATGATATGATTGGATCAGATATTACTCTATCTAATGAAATCAGATCCATCCAAGTATTAATTTTCTGATGAACTGAATAATCAAATAGCATTACCATCAATGGATTATATCAATATTACACATCTAGTACTTACCTATGCATCATGCCTAATAGGTATTGTATCATCTAATTTACTGGTGCTTTCTACCAGCCTCTAAATATAGCAAAATGCTTCCCGGTATTAAGGAGTGAATACTTTGCTAGTTATAATACAGATAATTGTTATGTGATTTAAATAAACATAACACCCACCCATTGAGTTGCCAATGTATGCCCCAAGTGGTCATGGTAACAGTTGCAACAGCAATTGCAAGCACAATCTAAACATAATTTCCAGTGGAGAATTTGGAGGTTGAAAGTACTGTTCCATACCACATTCATATTAGATTTTTAACAAACAATGATGAATTAACAAGTTTCATAATATAATGAAGTGGTATTGTATGCCTGGGTCACAATTTTAATATGTATGTCCAGTGGTTTATTATCCAATCCAGTCAAATATTAGGAGTCAGATATTGAAGAAAGTTGTTATTTGTCTCATCCATGTTATTTCTAAATTATAGGCAAACAGAAGGTATTCATTCAGAATCAATATGGAAAAATCCCACAGAAGAACATACTGTAAAATCTAGTACATCATCTCATGAGATCTCACAGGGGAATGTGAGAGAACACATTTCCAGAGAGGTTGAAGAAACTGTGGAAAAGATTAATTTAAAAAGAAAACAAGACACATCACTTTTGGCAGATTTTAAAAAATCTCTTGAAATTCAAGTGAGTTTTAAAATGAGTAATACATTTAAATTTGTGAAGCTAAGTAATATTTGCAGCACACTTATGTTGTGGTAATGTTTCATTACCATGGACAGTTTTCTTCTAAACAAGTTTGTACTTACAGTGAACCTGTTCCATTTCAGTTTAGACAGGTGAATATTTTTTGTTCATGAATAACCTAGAATTTTTTAACATACGCGTGTGCACCCCAGTAGTTCTGTGGTAATTCTGAAGGGTTATATAATGCTGAAAACTGGATTTCACTAATTTTATGATGAGCACAGCACAGATAGCCCATCATGTAGTTTTGTGCTTAACTACAAATGAAAAAACAAACACATACATAAGTTTTGGTGTATAGATTTAACAATAGAGAGTTGACTGTCAATTGTGACTAAATTGCTTTTGTCCTAGTTAGGAATTGTTCTGGGTCACAGCACTCTCTTGTGGGAAAGATTGCTTAACAATGCACAGTCAAACACAGTATGTAGATTTTGATAGTGATCTTAACAACTGGCAAGCCCTGTGATTCCTAGAGATAGTAACCTTGTTTGCTTGTGTTATGACCAAAAGTGACATGGATATTGCATGTTTCAGATCTTGATCACCAGACTCCAGAGATAAATGCTGTCTATTGTCTAGTTTGTTTGTCTTCAGTCAAATAAAGGATTACACGTTTTTCATTGCCAGTTTGTGTCAGTCAAGTAGTAATCTCAGTTGAACTTTGCCCAACATTTTCTGCCATTCCTTTAGTCATTATGATTATTATTCTTATCTTTAAGGTAATCAGTGTACTTGAGCATACCAGAAAGTAAGAAATCCAAATTATGTTTTGGTGATATAACCTAAGATTTATGTTTTATAACATTTTCTGTATTCTCTTAATATGCATATTCATATGTTCTTTTATTCTCTGTTATGGCATGAATGCCTTTTATAAGTTGGTAAATTATGATTATGATTAATTATATTTGTCATAAGACATTAGTATTAGGCTTATTATATTTTTAACATTACATTCTTTATTCAGTTCCTTCAGGTTTTCCAAAAAAAAAAAGAGTGTATGATGGTGTTTTAACCATGGTTTGTCCACCATATCTTTTACTGGTGATGTGTTCCTTTATTCTCCCCTTCATTTAGTCACTGAAGGTGGTTCATGGTTTAGCCTTTTCTGGATGTTGGCCTTTCACCATTAATAGTATATCTATGATCTTGATCCAGCCAGAAGTTCATGTCGGGGATTTCCAGGGCTGTTGCCCCTGTTCTTCCTCTGAAGCTAATGAATGAAGGTTAAACTGGTTTGTTACTTTTAGAGTCCCTGCAGGACACAGATTGTTGCTGACCACTATGATTGAACTGCACTACTGTTCAGTGTCATCCACAGCTTGGAGGAGAATGAAGGTGTCTTTATCAGATAAAGTCTGTTAGTTTGTGACATCAGGAGAGACAGCAAACACCCAATGGGGTAGATGAGAGACTTATTTTGAGATGAGACATGCTACTAAAAACCACAAAGGGGCATACCACATGCTAACAAAATCACAAAGGGTCATGCCTCATCTCAAGATCATGCAAAGCTGGCTCACAAGTTTGACACAGATGTATCAATTGTGTACATGGAACATGAATCTAATAAGCACAGTGACATCACAGTTGTCTAGGATGTATGTTAGTCACGATGCCACCAGAGGTGTTTTGTTTGACCAGTTACAGGTTATTGTCAATGAAGTGAAATGAAATACTCTAGTGACAGTTAATACTACCACTAAAAAAGATATGGATCTATTAATTCAATATTCCAGGCAAGTAATGGTTGTATTCTGGTACAGGTGGTGCAATGTCTTACAAGTAGACTAGCACTATACTCAATTAGACACTTTCGTGAGGAGTAGCTAAATTACCCCAAGTTATCTTGAGCTAAGGTCAAAGCTCAAAAGAGAGGGACCAATAAAAACTTGGCCAAATTGTGGGTGACCTGTAATGGCTGTATGGGAAGTGATAATCTACTATAGCAGGCACAGATTTCAGCCATGTCTGCTGCAACTCCTGTTCCATAAAATTAACAGAGCTCTGGTATGGTTTTGCTTTTGACCTAGAGAGGACAGAGTAATAGGTTTGTTCCCCCAAGTGAGGCATTTAGCCCAGCTCCACAAGGCTGGATGGGGATTGTTATGTATCAGTAGAAATACATATAAACAAGATCGAGCTCTTAGGTCATACAAAAGTCACCAGAACTCTGGGTATCTTTGTGGTGTATTAAACATGCAGAGTGAAGCTACTACTCTAGATAATTGATACACACTTCTTTTCGGCTAATAGTGACATATGCTATCACTTGCAGAAAAAAAAAACTAGTTGTTTCCAAACTTAGTTCAGGCATTGGTATCTTGGGATTAGACCTGTTGCAGCAATTGTAAACCAGTTTTGCTTTTGTAAAGGTGAGCTGCAGCTCTGCAGAAAACCACCCATTGCCAATTTTTTCAAGATAGCTGCTTTATTAGGAGTTATTTAATCATGCTTTAGGTTACAATTTGATGACAGTAATAATAGAATTAAAATGGTATTGTTTCAGTTGCGGGATTTAGTAATGTGTAATTTTACATACTAGTTGTACACTGACAGTTATTGAACACAGTTACTGTAGAACAAATAAAGAACTGCTCGAATTCTTTCAAAGATAATTTAGGCAAAATATTCGTAATGAACAAAGATGAAATGAGCAGCAATAATTTTTTCAGCACTGAAAATTGTGGAAAACCATTCATTTTTGTCAGGAAGACCTGGTAAGGTCTTTAAAAGCCTAACTCCATCGCTCCCACATCTCTTGTTTTTATTGATGACAAGCTGTAGGTTGTGTTTATCTCACTTTCACAAAATGAAAATATATATATAGAAAATAGGAAATTTGTTGAATTGGCGATATTGGTCATTGACATACTTTAAACTATGTACTTCCACCTGCAAATGATTATTGTTAAAAGGATATCGTTAGCATAAGATAAGCCCAACATTTATATGGCGGAAACCTAAACTCATGAAATTAATAATGGGATAAAAAAAACAAGAAAGTTTCAGAAGTAACATTTCTAGCCTAAATTATTCAGAGATACAAGTTCTTTCTTAATTCTTTCTTGACACAACTTTTTAGTACACAGAATTTCCACAGTCACTTTAAACTTAACAACCTTTATAACATACATTATAAATCATAGTGATTCACACACTTTACTTACGGTGCCTGCTGTTCGCTTGACTCAATTATCTGTTTCTTCAATCTATCTGCATATCTCTCTATCGCTGGCTTTATTTGCCGGGCTTATATACTAAAAAAGAGGGCGCCTGGCAAAAATTCGGACATTCGCGGGGTTCCTCGATAAATCATGATCCTTCTAGAAACTCCAGCGCACATGCTCCCAGCGTCGCGTGACTTCCGCTGTCGTAACAATATAATAAAATGTGAGTACTAGCTTACGCCACATAAAGGGAAGATATGGTGTACCAATGTTTTCGTTGATGTTATTGAGAGAATATGTTTGGTCTTTAGGCTTGAAATATTCGAAACTTGCAGGTTTTCATGTATAAGATAAAAGTAACTTAATGGGAAAAAATGGTGTTGTCCAATGTTTTCATTAAGGTTAACGAAGAATATGTTGAAATTTGTGAAACAGAAATATTTACAAGGAAAACGAAATTATCTACAAAAGGATAGCATGGTATACTTGACGTTTTTGTTGGTTTGTATGTAATATGTCCAATTTGTTAGAATGGAAATATCTTGTAAATTAACATTTTTGGAAACTATTTTCTTTACATATATTTTTCTGCACAAGATTCGCCTCTAGTGGCTCAGCGAAATTTTTGAAAACTTATAAAGCTAAAAACCGGGTTTTGATACTCGTGGTAGATATGCCATAGATAGCTCATTGTGAATCTTTGCACTTAACAACAAACTCTACATGCTAGTGATCACTGTGGTTGTATGGATTGAGGATGTAAATAACACCTTTGTAGAGTTGCTTGGAAGTTCCTTGGAGTTATACAATAATGCTTTTACTAAAAGGAATCTCATAATCAGGAGATAGTGGCCAGTGTATGTACAATGACTAGAGCTGGACGATCTAATCGATATGATCGATTATCTATGAGCAGCAGTGATATCGATTAGTGTCTCTGTAAACTAATTGATTAATCGAAATTACGTTTAGTGGATCAATGTCACGAAAATAATCGAAATTAGGTTTCCATTTCTATATCTTTTTCAACAATTCCAAGTATCCAAACTACGTGAAATGGGGCTCGTAATTTGAGGGTATAGGGTTCAATTCCACCAACTATAGCAACTGAAGTGTTAAATAAAATGTACATTTGCTTTTTTTGTACATTGTGTTATGTTTCTAATTTTTGTAATGCTATTATTTAATGTTTTATAAGCAGGCGCTAATGTAGGAGATGGTCGGACCTCCATCCATTTTTTCTCCCAGAAATGAATAAGTGCATTTTTTAATAATGTTATATAAGAATTTGTAGCTATAGTGGAGAGAGGTCTAGGGGAATTGAGGCCCTCTCCATTTTTTTAGGAATTAATAACTGTATTATTTAACTTTGTATAGACAGCCACAGATATTGGGGGCCAGCCCCCCCCCCTCCATTTTTCAGAAGTTAATAAAAAGACACACGTTTTTACACTACTATATACTGTCAAAAAGAATCATTAAATGTCAGATTCAGAAATCCACATAGCTGTAGTCCACAGCATTCCAGTTAATTAAGGCCTCAGCGAATAACTCATTAATTCTTAGATAATAACATAAACGTCAATTAAACGTTGTCATGGTAAATTTTTCTGTCTTGGTTCTTTTCAGACACTAACAGTGTATCTAGACTTTTCTGGTGATTTAATGTTTAATGAGTAACCTATTGAACTAAATAATTAATTCAAAAATACATTAATAGATTACAACTGCCTTTTTGAATGTAACTCGTATCTGACGATGACTAGG